CCTCGACAAAACCCGGCTTGCTCTTCGCGGATCTGGCCTTCGCGAGCCCCAGTCAATCTGTGAAGAACGACAAACGCAAGCAATTTAGAGGCATTCGAAATCAGACTGACCCCTCTATGATTGCCACATTCCGAACGGAAGCCTCCCTTGAAATTGGGACTATGACGGAGCGGCTGCTGTCTGTCGGCACAGTTTCACTAGCGACCCGTGTAAACCATCACAAGAGCAGCTCCTCCGAACTTGTAGAGAGCCGGGGGAATTCTCTCTGAACCAGCAGTCTTTTGCAATTTCAGCAGCCTGATCTTACCTTTGACTTTTGCGCGTGGGGGAAGATCTAAGGAGATGGCCCATGGCGAAGGACACTCAATGCCCGAAAGCGAAAGCGATAACTCAGATTGGTTAAACTGTCTTGCAAAGTGTTCGGGCCAACACTTCAAGCGTTTTGGCTGCCTGTGGATCGGCTGTCCACTCTCGTATTGTCTCGCTAACTCCAGGTGTCCTGCTTGTTTCCCGTATCAGACGGAATAACATACCATGATTGCCAATGGCAGCGGCTGTTTCCACTTCCGACGCACGATGAGACCACCAGGCTTCTCGCTCTCTCTTCAGGCTAGTACGCAGTTTTGCCCTGAGATTTTTGCGAGTTTCACTGTATTCGCTTTCAGCCGGAATACGTCGTGGTGCATCCACAAGTTTCAGAGACTTTGTAAAGACCCAATGTCTAGGCTGACAATTTGATTTGCCATACGAAGACTTGCCTGCTGATAGCAACGTTTGACGAGTATGCAACCAGTGATCTGCGACGCTGTTCAGTGGGCGTTTACTCAACCCGGATACCAGCGTACTTTGATACGCACTCAGAACACCTGGCTCCGCCAGTTGGCTGGTGTCTATGTGCTCAGAGTGACCTTTCGGACGTCCGCCAAAACGCACCCGAAGGTCGTCACACACGAGCATGATCGGAGTCCTCGCTGGTGCTTCAACTCGAGCGACAGTTTTAGACACAGCCTCTCCAGCGGTAAGTGATCTCAATGTGATCGATTTGCGTCCATGGCTGGTCCGAGGCTGGTGGGCGCCAAGTCACTGTTCTGCAGGTGCCATGTCGAAAGTTAGTGCTCACGAGAAAGAGACGAGCATCTTCACACAGGTGTAGCAACCACTCGCCGTTATCCTTACGGGAGCCTACACCATGTTGGCCGTCCAGATGAAGCTCATCAGAGGACAATTTTCCGACTTGGGCGTTTAGATCACCAGCAAGCACCATAGTTGATTGACTGATTGTTCGCTGAGCTCGGCAGGTTGACTGCACCATAGTATTCGTGCTTCTGTGACGAAGGTGATCGTTAAGTTGGTGATAGTAATCATCTTTAACCGAACCAGGGTTGCAGTTTGTGGGCGCATAGGCCGCAATGATGAATGGGTACCGTTTGTCCCCGCGCGTCTTCGAAGCCTGGAGCGAGCCAGCTAATCTAACGGCGCACATCCGGTTTTTGACTGGGATTAAGTCGAGCAGGGCAGCTTCAGCCCGGAGACTCAAAACAATGCCGACGCCAGCCTAAACTGCATTTGAAGCTGCGTCATCGCCAGACAGGCGCAATGAGAATGTGCCGGCAGTGTTGCATGTGGGGAATTGCTGAGTGAGCACGGAGCTCAAAGCTTGCAGGCAGGTCTCCGATAGACAGAAAATATCGATCGATAGGGTTTCGAGTGTTCGGACAAGTACTGCTTGTTGACCAATCTGTGGCAAAGTTCACACATTGTGACATGCCAGTCTTGGCGAGGATCGAGGACTCCAAACGGAAATAGATGAACCAACGTTGTCCGCTTGGTTAAACATGGACTTATCGACTGAATTGGTGCGACTCCCTGCGATTGTGTATGTTGAAACTGGAAGATAAACGACTATTCAAGCAAGGTGGGGAGGGCCAAGAAGTGGGGGATAAAAGTGAAGTTGGTGTGGGACGACAAGGATGAAAAAGCGCAAGCGGGGGTATAAGAAGGCGGGAAGGCCTGGGCGGTGGCATCCAAACTCCTATCTTACCGGCTCGATGCAGCAGATAGACCCCGTTTATTATCCTCTGCGGCGGCCAGTGCATCAAAGGGTTGTTAGAAGGAAATGTCATGGTGCATTGCCTGAGCAAGATACTGTCAGGTTGCCCAGGCATAGACAGGAGAACGTTTAGTGTTCTCAACCAAAGCCTTCGGTTCATAAACCTTACTGCAAGGTAGCGGGGTTTTGACACTTGGATACAGAGATCCCGTTTTGTGGAGTAAGGAGCAACCCACACTTCAACCCCCAACCTGAAGGGCCAGGAGACTGAGTTTGTCTGGCCTCTAACCATTGACCAATCCGGTTTGTGTGGCTCTGAACATGCAAAAAGCACCACGCAGCATAACTCAATGAATCACTAAAGCACACAAACCATCGCATCATGTTAAGGTCCAGTCTCATCGCGATGGTTCGTTTCTAGATCACGGGGACATTCATTCTGTCATCTTTACAGATGAGGCACTGTTTCATCTAGAGGGGATAGTGAAACAATATTCTTGGGTTACTAATAAACCACGGAGATATACCGCACCATGTATGCATCACAGTGTCAAATTAATGGTTTGGACTGGATTAACGACCGAGAAAATCTTGGGACCATATTTCTTTCCCGGAAATGTGACCGGTAGGTTGTTGTTTTGAAGTACAGAAATCGGTTTGAACCATCATCTATATTAGTGAAGGTGTTCAAAACGTCCGCCAGCGTTCTGCTTGCGGTGCTGAAACCGCCTAATGCAGTTGGCAAGCATCTTCCCCAATGTATCTCTCGTGATCGCACGAGATTCACAATATTTTCTACAAGTTGCTCCAATGAATGCGACCTAGTTTTGTATACTCTCCGATGCAGGTAGCCCCATAAGAAAAAATCCAGGGGGTTCAAATCTGGCAGGCGAGCAGGCCACTCCATTGGTCCAACGCGCCCGATCCAACGGTGACCAAATTTGTTGCTGAGGTAAACACGCACCGTTTGAGCAGAATGTGCAGGTGCACCATCCTGCTGTGTCTGGAGCATTTCTAGGTTCAACGATGCTAGGAAAAAATAAGGCTTTAGTACTTCAAAACAACAACCTACCGGTCACATTTCCGGGAAAGAAATATGGTCCCAAGATTTTCTCGCTTGTTAATCCAGTCCAAACCATTAATTTGACACTGATGCATACATGGTGCGGTATATCTCCGTGGGTTATTAATAACCCAAGAATATTGTTTCATTATTCCATCTTGATGAAACAGTGCCTCATCTGTAAAGATGACCGAGTGAATGCCCTCCGTGATCTAGAAACCAACGACAAAATTCGAGCCGTTTCTCCGGATCGCAGCGGTTCAGAAACTGCATTTGCAGCGCACTGCATCTGCGAAATTTTCTTTCCTCTAATGTCCGGTGTACTGCGTATCGTGTCGTGTCACAATGCTTTGCGATTCGACGAATGCTGAGAGCTGGACTTTCCGATACTTCACTGATTACAGCGCAAGCTGAACAGTCGTCAGGGCTGATTTGAGGCGGCCCGGCTTTCTTTATCTTGCACACACTCTCAGTGTGCTCGAACATCACTAAGCACGTACCGGGCGATGACGGGACGCATTCCTGCGTTCATAGCACAGTTGTTGCAGCGTTTAAACCACATTCACCATACAGTCGAATAATAAGCCCGCGCTGATTAACAGGCACGTTACGAGATCCCGATTGCAGATACGTAGCTGACGGGAGTGTGTTTGTACTCCATTACCTGAGGCTAGCTAATATCGCCCTCACCTAATCCAAAACACTTGATTTGCCGGGATACCATTGCGTGCGCACATCCACGCCGCACTTGTGGTAGCACGTTTCAGGTTGCCTAAGCCGATTTGGCTGGGTAGCATGGCTGTTTCGCTTTGCCCAGCGATGCACACTGATAGCCATTGATCGCTCCAGTGCCTACGTTTGGCCATGACCTTCAGCTCTCAGATCGTGGTTAGCTGACAGCTGTCGGTCGCTGGACAGCGTCATGTGGCTGTCCGTACTCATCTCGCTCGACGACGAAGAAGGCTAATGTGATCTGCCGGCCTGTCCCTCACCAGCTTTATGCTTACATTCAACTGATCCCTGAACCAAACCACTTGTCTGCCGGGGGTGTCATATGTCCTCACCACTAAGGTTACAGATCAATTCACGGGTCTGCACGCGCGCATCTATGCAGTACGCGGTTTGCGCAATTCCGATGTACATTGGTTGGCGGCAAGAACTGTCGTAAATGGCCAGCATTCATCGTAAGCCAGCGACGTTGGGTCCATGAACTGCGCTTTCCATTCTGGAATGCGTTTATGGGCCTTCTGTCGATTTTGCTGTATTGCGTTCAGTGTTACCAAAGTAATCACGTGCTGAGAGGACAGGCGGCGATGGCCGTACATCCACGGCAATCAAGGATTGATAACTGAATGTTTTTACAAACATAGGTCAGGTCTTGTCTGGTTTATCGCCGCAACCTCGGCGAATTGCAGGAGGCGATAATCAGGGTGACTTAATTAAATCCAATTCCCTGAGCTTGGTTTGATTCGTTGGAGGGTCACTAAAATTTGTTTGCCTCTTAATGATTCCGGTGGCTTATGTGGGCCTGGAATATTGGACCAACGTTGGCTGACCTAGCATTGAGCAGGTGTGGCATCACTCTAGAATACAAAACCCGATGTTACTGACTTACTGGTCTCACTCCAATTGATTCACACAGTGTGATTTTGATGCTATGTGTTTCTCTTCCTTTACTGAAGTTAGCGACAGTTTCGGGGTTTTATCGATCACTATAATCTCTGCAACCCTGTAGGTTCCTTGAATGTCAGTGATTAAGCGCTAGATTGTCCTGGTAATGGCGTTGCCCTTAAATTGGTATTCGATGTATGCATTTTTCTTATGTGCTATCAACACTTTCGGCTCACCTACCTATTCAGGAAAAAACACTTACTTGATTTTGTTACAGTTCTAGCCCTACTTGGACTTGTGCTTAACGGACAGCTACTCCACTGTCCATTTCTGTGGTTATCCAGCAAGCAGATCCCCATGCTACCATGTCTCGACACCGGAATGTTCGCCAGTTGGGCCTTGATGGTGAGATTCGTCGTCGATTATCTAAAAGTTTTTGATAGATATTTCTTTGTACGATGAGGCCTTGGCTAGTTCACTGGACGACGATTCCACCGTTTCTCCCAACTCTGGTAACGTGTCTACAGCGCGTTTCATCCTTCATTAGTTGAGTATTTATTCGATCGAAACAAACAGGATTCTCGAGCTGTTTCACTTTTCGCCAGCCAAAGCAATGCACCACTGCAGTTCACTGCGGAAGACTTCCCCATGAACGAGGCCTTGCCTAATGGTTGGTTAACTTGTTCTATGGCACAGTTTACAGAGTAGATGGATCTCCAGGCTATGTCACTGGTCGTATTCATGGAGACATACCTGGAGACAGCGATCAGTTTGGAGTTCTGGATGCCGTTCAAGATAATTTAGAGCTTACGCAGCGGATCACTGGTGACACCAATAATGCACGTGAGTTGGTTTTATAGATGACTTCTTGCTTGTAGACCCCCTAACGTTTCCCATCGATGAATTTCGTGTTTCTTCTCCACCCATTGGGATGCGTGTGCCTTTCAATAACCCTGACGTGTTAGATTTCGATCTCTTGGAGCAACTTGTGGCCCAGAAAGTATCTCCACTAAACCCCTTGACTCCCGTCTGTACGACCCTCAGCGGACGCAGTGCGCATAGCATAGTTGCGTCATCACCCGTCCCCCATTTCGAAGCCACAATCCTTTCGAAATCAAACATGGATCGACTCAAGTCAGGGCTAACCTTTGTGACTAAGCATCACCTCTCCCCAGCTATCGTGATGCCATCGGGCAACTCCAGGTTGCTTCCGAACGTTTCCGAGTCACGCTTGACCTCAAAGGGTTGCAAACCTTCTAGTAGGCTAGGCTATCGCATGACGAGCTCGTACACTCGGTCACGTAGATCATTTGGTCCTGTCGATTTGATTCTACTTGGTAATCTGCACTTGTTCATCAGATCCCGAGCTACATCATTATATGATTTATTGCAAAACAACCAAATCGGAATCGAGCCTTTTCGTTTCAATGTTCCTGAGCCACTTGTATCAGATCGCCCTGCTCGGAGTGTTACTGGACAATTCGGGAGTTTCCTGCCCTCTCCGCGACAAAAGAACCGCTCGCACAGTATGCAATATGTTACTTTGCTTCCACAACCATTCTGCACAATGTCTTGATGTCTCTTGTACTGCTTTTCCAATGTTCGTATGCTTTGTAGGTTATTGTCTTCACGGTTGAATCCTGCCTTTTGACATCTGACATCGGCCCACTTTACACAATACTACTGCCCATCGTATGATTTGACTTTTAGTCGCGCCTATTTAATTCACTTTGTTACTAGTTTAACTCTAAAAGTGCAGCTTCTCGGCTATGGACTACCCCCAGTGTGGGATCGGCCTTCTTCAGGTTTTGCATCCCATTCTGACCTTTGGCCAATTTGTCGATTGCACACACTGGCGGTTTCTTCGCCCATCGTCCAACATTACTTCCGTCCTGTTTCTGGGGAATGCCCGCACACGATCCGGCTTCTCACGATCTGTCCTCATTTTGTTCTCAAAAATCTTCGTACTACTGCCGAACATTTCCATCTGCGAACTTTCGCGGCCATATTATCTTTATCCTCCACTGCTGGCTGATCACTGCAAAATGTAGCGGTAGAGACCAGCTTTATCAGGTTTGTTTATTGGGGCTGATTACATCCACAACTCGCTCATGAAAACACGCTTATTTACTTACTTGCTCTCTTCTACTATGAGAAGTAGTTCGGTCTCCTTCCTCTTCCCTTGGATTGCATCTTCTATTTAGCTCTGTATGCATGTCATACATCCTGGCATGCTTTACGCGGCTTGCTTGTTGGTCTTCATAGTCCTTATGCCTCCATCCAACCTTGACCTCTGCATTTGGCGATTTCCCATCCACCGACTACAGCTTATATTAGTTTGAGGTACTATTCGCCTATCTTCGATCATAGTGGATATATGAAACAACAGAAGGGAGTTGCATCTATCGCTTCTCAAGACTACTATCTGTATTTTATTGCTATTCATCCCTACACTCTCGACTGGACCACGCACTTCTATCGTGCTCAAGAACTCAGAACTCAGACGAATTCTATGCGTTAAGAGGACTAACTGAGTACCTAGTCTGCTGTTCATGTCTGGCTTAGATTTCGGACACTATGTGCTCTCACCATCGGATAGCACAACGTGGATTCCACATGAAGTGATTTGCTTATCGGGTTAGACGACTCAGCTTGTGGAGCGTTCTCATACCTTCGCACGGGGCTCCGTTAAATTACGCTGATGTATTTTCCACTTTTCCCGACAGACTACCCTGTACTAGAGCCGTTGTCTCACACGTTAATTTTCGTAACCAAGCATTATATGCAACCATTGAATTAACAACAGCCGCCAATTATTATTTAATTTAATTTCCTTATCGGTTATATAAGCACCGGGATGCATTTGACACTCTCTACACGAAGTGAACATGCTGCTTCGCAGTGTCCCCAGTTCAGATATCGTTGTTGTTGCTGCAGGGGATATGAATGCACAAGTAGGTCGTCTGGACTCTTCAGAAGCTTAGCTAGGTGGTAAGTATGGACTTAACTCCGACCGTACGGACAACGGCGAGCGTCTGTTGTGACTGTGTAAGGAGCACCGGCTTTTTCTTAGTAGCGCTACTTTTAGACACAGTGGGCACCAAAGTGCCACTTCACATCCACCTATAGCTACCCAGCGGTAGACCCAAATAGATCACCTTGCCATAAGTTACAAGTGGCGTGGTTCCATCCTGGATTTTTCTCGTACTAAAATACCTACGAATACTGATCATGCCTTGGTACCTTGTCGTTTTTTCATAAACTTTACTGGGAGACGTACGAAGCGTCTCCCGCGTCTGACAATCGAGAAGTTATCTCAAGCAAGTTTACCAGGATACCCTATGTTCCGGTCGTTTGTCCTAATGACATTGGGCTACAGTGGAGTAGGATCTAATCTATCATACACGACATTAGAGCCTCTGCTTGCAGCATTATCAGTTGTCACCGCACCCAGTCACTGGATATCCGAGCGATCATTGAACCTGTTGGAATTCAGAAGTAAACTTCTAGATGACTCTGGACACAATGTAATCAGACGGACTATTAAGTGCGAACTAAAGTGGAGCCTGCATGCTGGCATGGAAGTCTGGTGGATCAGTAGGGCTCAAGAAATGTAGGAGGCAGGAGCAATAGGCAATTATCACAGGCTCTTCCAAATGACCCCCACCACTGGTCCCAGAAACCCAAGCGTTAATGAGACAATCAGAGACGGCGCGCGTACCCTGATTTACAGTAAGGTGCACCGTCCGGCTCGGTGGGTGCAGCACTTTTGAGAGCAGTTCCATTGGCCCCATGCTCTCTGACCACTTCCTACTAATGTGGTGCAGGCTGGGTCATGGTCGGTTAGTTTGGATGCTCCTGCTCGTAGCCTTAGGGATCACTGTCCAGCCTTGTGATCCGATGGCGCGGGTTCGCGCCTATGTAAGGACCGGACGATCCTCGCAGTATCCTTAGCGCACCTGCGACTGGTGGTGATTGCGGGGCAGCGAAGCGTCCATACTGCGTACCGGCATACTGATGATGCCTTCTTGGATGATCCGTCGGAGGATGAGGGCCGAAACGTGATCACAACCTGCAACCATTTTCGAGTTAATGGTCCAGATTCCCTCGCACCCGCACTATTTAAGGATGGTGGCGTGGTCCTCTGCAAAGCATTGATCTCTGTTCGAATAGGTCTAGAAGGTAGACAGCATCCTAGCTAACTTGACTGCATCGATTATAGTATCAATATACAAGAAGAGCATCTGCACTGACCGTGCTAACCGCAGGAGTATTAACTTAACGCAGGTAGTGACAGAATTACTGGCCTCAATTCCCGTTCGTCGCCTGACTACGTAACGGGAACCCTGTTTTAAGGAACAGCAAGCAGGTTTCCATTCAGTACCTAGCTGTATAGACCATGTGTTCACTCTGCAGCAAGTGATAGAGCAGCACCACATATACCGTAGACTGCTAATAGCTATGTTCCTGAACTTTAAGAGTGCGTTCGACTCAGTCGATCGATCCATTCTGTTCGAACCACTTGCGTGGAAATATACAAATCTTCTACGCGCCTTGTACTCGAACACCACAGGGCGCGTCAGGGTTTACGGTATCTTGTCAAGTATCTTGCCGACAACAAGCGGTGTTTGTCAGGGTTGCCCAATTTCTCCATTTTTGTTCAAATTCGTCGCAGACTCCATCATGGAGTGTTCCGTTGCGGGATCTAACGATGCAGACGTTAAAGTGTGGTCTGGTGAAAATTTAGTTGATTTTGTTTATGCGGACAATATTGTCTTGCTGTTTACCGATGTTTGGATGGTCCAATCAACCCTGAATAACGTCATTAGAGTGGTCCCATCATTTGGCATGCGATTCGCACTTTCAAAGTGCTAAGTGTTGTTACAAGACCTCCAGAAACTGGATATTCATTTGACCCTTGATAACGAGGAGCTCTCGGTTGCCCTCAGTTGGAAAGGCCACATTTAGTCTTCCTACTTTATGAGAGTTAGACTTCGGTCTGAGGATCTGGGGCCTCCCCAAGTCCTTGACCATTGCTGATGTCGGATAGCACCAGCCTGTCTGCAACGATGTGCGTAGTAGAATGCTTTGTAAGTATAATCAGACTAGATCCTTAAAACAACAGAAAGCACTAAATAAGTTGCGTTGGCTTGGAAAGGTACTACATATGCCCCCTCACCGCTTACTGAGGGGGGCGTTGTTTTGTTTGCCAGATGTAGGGTGGCGCAAGGTTCGAAGTGGGCAGAAGTTAACTTGGCATCCTGCAATGAAGTCATTGACAACCAAACTTAGTACCGTCGGTCCGTCTCGCCTTCCAGGCTGAAGTCCACGTGACGCGCCTTGTGCTTGATTTGAGACTTTACGTTACGTGGCTCGCAGTCTGCACAAGTGGCGCATCTGTTGTCGTCTCCTAATCGGACTGCCTGTTTAGAGTGCGGTACTGAGTTATCTGTGGGGTAATGGCTAATTATGACATGGGACAATGAAAACTGCAAGAACTTGTCTCGCTGATGTCGCCCTACCTTTGCACGATAGCCAGCTGTTTGTGAAGGTATGTTGCTGACAAGGTGTAGACACCTTGACCGTAAACGTTTCTTTAGCGAATTAAGGTTTTATGGTAGGTTCCCCTTCTCCCCTTTCTTCTTATTCTTCATTCCTTAGGTCATTTGATTATACGGCAGCGAAGCATCAGTCCAAATGGCTGATATACTGCTATTAATGACAAGGATGATGGCGATATACTTTAACTTCGAACGTGTCTTTAACGACACTTCTCTGGATAAACATATTGTGACATCTTGAACACTAATCGCTATATTCTCCCCATAATCAAAATATATTCTAAGGCGGATTATCGCATTACCTCCTTTTTGGTAACCGAGAGGCTACCTAATTTGCCATTCTTTTCCAGCTTTCTTGTGAGCATCGCTATGGTACGCGGACTTCCTTCTTCCTGAACATGTGTGGTCAAGGGGTCAAGTTATTACTGACCACATGGCTCATCTACTTTTCTTCCATGTCTTTGAGCAACTCACTCGCTTAATCCCTTTCTGATCATTTGGTATACTTATCACGTTGGCACGCATTATATGGATTGCCGTGCTTGGCTAATGAGTCCCGATATTCTGGTCCCGGTCCGACGACTGTCACAAGTCGGCTTCTCGTAGCTGCACAACTCTGCAGTATTTGTGTGGCGACGAAATTCTTGCGTTCTGCCATTAGTAGTGCTAAATTCTTACGTGTATTGCTTGTTAGCTGTGTGATGTCGCGCGCCACTATCATCGTGAGTCTTGACCATAGATTATTCATAGCCTATCCTCTGAGCGCACACTGGGCTCTCGCCATTCACCTGCGACACCCACCACAAAACTCTATACTATATTTACCCACTGCAACTCGCAGCAAACAAACTAAGCTTCCCATCTATGTTCGGTGCGAATATCAAGACACCCTGGTCGCGATTACTTACTTCGCTGCACCCTCGCCCGCACGCCACTGTGCAGGCGTTCAGTTAAACATACAAACT